TACTGACATATTTCAGTTGTTGAATCAATTGTTGTTTAAGTATGATATGTTCAGTGATTTTAATAAAATGATTCAGAAATCCAGTTTAATTAACCTTTTTTTGGCTTATGTTTTGTTTGTTTGTTTGATTGATTGGTCAGTCGGTTGGTCGATCGATCGGTTGGTTGATTGATTGAGTAAATAATAGTCAGTGTTGACTACATAAAGAAATCTAATGAACAATGTTTGTACAACATTTATTAATAATATTGATTTGGGCTGCTTAACGGCTTGTTAAGTGTGACGTCACGTGAAGCGGCTTTCGGCTCCAAGCGCTCTATCAAACTGTATGGGAAGACTCATCAAATGGTAATAATAAACATTTACAAAGCGCTGTAATACTTTCAAAAATCACGATCACAATGTATATATCCATGCCTAATATCCCATGGCCAGAAAGTGATATATTTATTATTAATTTTTAAATTTTGGTATTTTTAATGCAGCAAGTCAAGAGACTGTTGTGTACACCATGATTTTATTTAAAAATCCCCTTTAATGTGTGATTAGTCAAAGAAGTGGCCATAAACAAATATTTTCTCAATTCAAATGAGTAGCGGCTTGGACCCTGAAACAGTATTCCATATTTCACTGATACGTCACTGCTTAACAAGCGGATTACTCAGTAGGTTCTGCATTTGAATTTAAATAAAAGTAAACTAAATAAATGAAAAGGTATATTTTATACAGTATGAATGTCATTAGTATGAATGGAACTCAGTTGCGTCACTTTACTCCCATTCATGAATTCTCTCATGGTGTGTCATTTGATAGCGTAGAGTCCATCTGATGCACATTTCAGAATCATGACGGAAGTAGTAGGTCATCCAAGTACTTCTCATGTATGTTTTTTGAATTCTATAAATTTGGAAATACTGTACTACTCGGCTCGCATTCATTTTTGTCCCGTTTCCACTGAGTGATACAGTATGGGTCAGTAAGGGTCACCTTTATTAGGCTTTTATTTCCACTGATAAAATGGTAACAATAGTACGCAGATAACAATGAGGGGGGGGGGGGGGGTGTACTTAAGAAGTTTGTTCTACAAGCTCTATGGAAAAAGTGAAACCACTCATGCTTTTAGGCCGTACTCACACTAGGTACAGTTGCCTCGAACCGGGCCAAAGCACGCTTGTCCCCCTCCCGTCTCCCCCGACGGCCCGCGCTCACACCACAAACGGGCTTTGGCACGCTTACGTCATCGCTGCTGCGCTGTTCAGTGAGAAGCACTCTCCCACTCAGCAGCACAGTGGAGATTTCTCTAGTTATATTGTTTCAGTCGTTTGATATGCCGTCAAATATTTCGCCAAACAGTCCTTAGGGATGCGGGGACATGCAGTCAGATATTTTGCCGAACAGATCTGCCACTTTTGGCGCTCATAAACAATCATAAAGCTCTCGTGCTGCAGGAATGAGGAGGTCTGCTGAAGGCGCGCAGCTGTCGTGCAGTGAGGGGTTTGCGTCTTTAATAAACTACGGCAGTTTGCGTTAACTGAACAGTAAGAATTATTAATAAATCCATATGAAACAGTGCCTTGAAAGTCACGTCTCGCTTTCAGTTTCGGGCTTTGGCGCCCAAGTGAACCAGGGCCGGCCAAGTGAACCGTGCTTGAGCCCGATTCAGCGCACTCACACTTCTCAAACGATCCGGGAAACGGGCCTGGGCAGGGTATGGATGGCATAGTGTGAGTAGGCCCTTAGACGACCTCGTAAATGTTCTCCTTGGCTTTGTGGCTGTTCATCAAGATGACAACAAGGTTTGGAAGCTTTGGAAAGAGTACCCAAAGAGTGGTACAGTATGGTTTGCTTTTTGGCACTTTTTGACAGTGGAAACAGCCATAAAAGCGTACCAACCCGTACCATACCACTCAGTAGAAACGAGCCATTTTAAGATACACTAGGCCTTTCTTTACCATAATACACCTAAAACACTGATTACTATAAAAAGTCAGCAATTGCAGGTAGTATAGGGTTACAGTATATTCTAGTAAAGAGTTATACTGTAGTTGACTTTACTTGACCTAAATTATTTATTTTTAATGTGATTCAAAATTACTTTGGTGTTTTTGTTACACCACAAAGAAAAAAAAGTATACAACTTTTTTTTTTAATAGATGCAAGCTTTATAAGTGCCCTTACTGTGCATAAACCACTTTGTCCTTATATCACTCCTCAAAGCACCATCCTGCTATCTCAGCCCCGAAAGAAGAAAAAGCAAAACTTTTTACCCGAAGAGGTGACAGAACAGCATGATATATGACTGGGACTCATGGAAGTTAATTAAATAGCCTGGGCAGTTACTAAAGTGAGATAGGAGAAAGAGAGAGAGAGAGAGTGAGAGAAAGAGAGAGAAAGAAAGCCAGGCAGCTCAACATGGCGGCACTAATTTGAGCAAAGGAGGAGGGGGGGAGGGGGTGTCAGAGAGCATGGATAATCTAAACATGTTCAAGGTGCTGCTGGAATTACACTAACACTGCAATTACCAGACAGTGAATTAGGCTCGTAGACAGAGAAAGATGGAGACGGATGAGTGTAAAACAGAAAGATGAAGAACAGGAAGAAAACAAGAGTGGGAATGAGGAAATGGAAAAATGATCTGAAGGTGTTCGGTTGAGGCAATTATACTGAGGACATGGGCCACTCACTTCTGACCGGACAGTATTGTGTGAAGTCGCATCTACCACCTTGACTCTGCTCTTAAGGTGTAATGTAACACATTATATGACGTGTGGACTTTAGATAAGTCATTCAGACTCTTTATAAGAGCACAGCACAAGCTCCGTCAATAAAAACAGCTCTGTGGAGATGAAAATGTATGCAAAGCATGGGAATCTACAGGAATTTCAAACACAAATTGCTTGTAAAATTGGATTTGATCCTTAACTAAAGCAAATTTTATGCTAGCAGAGGTTTTAAAGCTATCATTATTAGGGGCTTTTGTATTGAATATTTTCATCTTAGTGACTGTAGTCGTCAGCAAACTTGCTTGGTTTATATTCGATTGCATTTTTGTAGCCTCAACAAGAATCTTTTTTTTTCAGTTTTGAGGTAAAATATCTTAATATGAACGAATAAAAACACAAGAACAGAAAGAAACAAGCGTCATTTCTTTTATTCTCTAGTGATTTGTTGACGTTTTGTCAAGAATCATGTCGTTCGTTGGTAAGTGTGTGAATATACATGCATTAATTGATCCTGACGAGTGTTCGTCAACATGACGTGTTCCCCAACATGACAGAAAATACATTTAATTGCTCAAAAGGATGGGCTGTAGTAGTTTAGGCTACCCGATTGCAGATTCTGTACATTATGGCACATTTTCATTTCTGTAATGAATTTTATTATTGCTTTTGCTGTCAAAGGAATATCAGTTGTACTCAGGATGCAAAGTGTACACTGGCGATTGAGGGGGTCATCATTTTTGGCAACCTTAGCTTGTGCAATACATGCTGCAGTCAATTAAATTTATGTATTTATGTAAATCAGGAGTTCCCGAACTTTTCAGCCCTTCTCAACCCCCAAAATAACAATGTTATTGACTTGCAATCCTCAATATTGTCTGAGGTGGTTATAAATATATAAACCTTGCACACAATTGCGCACACATACCAAAAGGCTCAAATCTATTTATCGTTTAATTTTGGGGAAAACCACTCCGAGACCATCCTCCATGTTCAGTGGTGGGCTGTATTTACTTTTAATGCACGTGAGTGCCGTAAAGGTGTCAGAAAATTTGACCTGATGCCATAATATCAATGTGCTGCAACTGATGCTATTGTTGGGTCTTTGATTTAAAATAATCAACCCCAGGAGTCGCTAAAAAAAAATAATTAATTAAATAAATAAAAAATTAAATGCTGATGGCTTTTTATTTGCATGTTATTTTTTTAATGTTTATTATTAACATGTTAACAAAGTTACTCATTTATTCATTTTCTTTTTGGCTTAGTCCCTTTATTAATATGGGGTTGCCACAGCGCAATGAATCACCAACAAAGTTAATATTAACTACTATTTTGTTCTTCAGTAGGTTATAGATAAAATATGGTTATTTTAGCAGTTTAATAAAATAAATTTGATTTTTGGAAATTGCCAAGTGACCTCTCCCTCATTGTCCTGTGACCCCCGGTGGAGGGGTCCCGATTTAAACGGCATCTAATATATTAATAAAATGTATTTGAGTTGTCAGTGTTTTGTGGGATATTTACTGTATTCTGACCTTCAGTCCAATTAACCATTTTACAGGTTACTGTAGGTTAAACAATACAAACTATGCACCTAATATGAATTTATTTGCTGTATGTAGAAACAGACACCTTTTTTTTTAAGAAAACTGTCTTATGAACACTTACGTTGTTTATTGTTCCTCTTGATCTGCCTTTTCAGACTGCTGAATGATTTTTTTGTGTAGAATGATTGGCGCGATCATGTATTCATAATGGTATTAACCGTTATAGGGGTGGTCAAATGCATATTTGTATTATATGCTATTTTAGTTATTAACATTACTATTTAAAATACAGATCACACCTTGTTTGTACTTACACTTTTGCTCATAAAATGTATCGAAAAAATACATTACAAAAAAAGTGAATTATATAATTATGAATTATTAAGAAGCATCATATAACAACTAGTTGTCATTAGTTAATTAATGAAAATTTGCCCATTTTAATATAAAAAAGTAATAATATTTTATACTGAAACATTTGACATTTTAAATGACAGTATAAACGTATGCATTCACAAATATTTTCCACCCTGCATTGTGAACCTTTACCAATTAATTTTTTAGTAAAGACACAACATACACGTTCACGTATAGCAATTACTTATGCACCTTGGATCTAATCTTAGTAACTTTTAGAACAAGTAAACTTTCCATTCTATGATGCCACTTCCAGCTACACTACTATGGCATCTGCGGGTTTCCAAAACACAGCTTGACACACTGTACTCACCTCTCCTTCTGAAGACTCTAAAGTGAGATCTTTCCTACAAGAAGCTTTGAATTCTCCTACTCCAGCATTCACTTCAACACCTTTAGGAGCCTCCAGTGTCAGTGTCCTCGTCGGAGACTCTAGCCTGTGAGATGAAAACAGTATGGAGAAATGACCATGATGATATGATCTCAGTTTATTGCATGGACATATTTCATTTGACCAAACAATACCCTTGAAAAATGTTGGCTTTCCTATAGAAAAAGTCTGATTCATTTTAGTTCAATTGATTGATTGATTGATTGATTGATTGCTTGCTTGATTGATTGATTGATTGATTGATTGATTGATTCATCCATCCATCCATCCATCCATCCATTCATTCATTCATTCATTCATTCATCCATTCATTGGTTGGATTATTCGTTAGTTCATTAATTTATTCATTCATTGATTGATTGATTGACCGATTGATTCATTCATTTGTTGGTTTGTTAGTTTCTTCCTTCCTTCCTTCCTTCCTTCCTTCCTTCCTTCCTTCCTTCCTTCCTTCCTTCCTTCCTTCCTTCCTTCCTTCCTTCATTCCTTTCTTTCTTTCTTTCTTTCTTTCTTTCTTTCTTTCTTTCTTTCTTTCTTTCTTTCTTCCTTCCTTCCTTCATTTATTCACTCATTCATTCATTATTGACCTTTTTTTCCAGAGCAATGTAGCAGTTTCCATGAAAACTTGTGGAAGCCCAAAGTTGCTAATATTTAGTAAAAGGGGAAATGATGTTTAGAACAACCTAATCAATATGATATTTGTCAGTAAATGAGGTAACTAAATGAACGGTCCACTCCTGAATGTCCAGAACCTTAAAAACACTGGAAAAGAAGCAGTATTGATCAGGAGAGAAAGAGAGAGAGCGAGAGAGATAGAGATAGAGCAAGGGGAAAAATGTTTGTAAAGTATGTCAATGTGAACCACAACTTGTTTTACTAGTTTTTTCAAAACAAGATCCTAAAGGAGACAAAACATACAGCAGCCTTACTTTTATTGATCTGGAATGGAAGGTGCATGTCAGAATGGAAAACCAAGTAAATAATAGCTATGTGTTGAAGTTTTGCCAACAGTTATACTGGTTAGTATTAACTAGAACTGCATGTGCATTACATTAACATTATTGTTTGTTAAAATACTTTTCGATTGTGCAAATGTAAAGGATTTGGATTCTTCAAATAATAAGAAACATTTTGAAATACAAATCTTTGTAGCGTTATAGGTACCTTACTGTCAGGAATAAAATAAAATAAAATAATAAATTAAATTACAATAAAATATAATAAAATAAACAAAACAAAAATAAAATAATCTCACATTTGTCTTGAAAATACTAAAAAATTGCTGTATCAAAGGATACTAGGTACCCTACTGTCAGGTGTTGAATAAAATAAAATAAAATAAAATAAAATAAAATAAAATAAAATAAAATAAAATAAAATAAAATAAAATAAAATAAAATAAAATAAAATAAAGAAATTAAATAAAATAAGAAATTAAATAAAAAATAAATAAAATGAAAGACAAATGAATCAAAATAAAACTAAATAAAAATAATACAATACAATAAAAAAATATAAAAAAAATAAAATAATAAAAGAAAATAAAAATAAATAAATCAAATCAAATCAAATAAAAATGAAAAATCAAACAAATAAAAAAATAATAAAATGAAATACAAATATAAAAAATAAAATAAAATAAAACGAAAAATAATAAAATAAAATAAAAATATATAAAATAAAATTACTAAATAAACAAATAATTAAAAACAAATAAAAAAAAACTAAACAAAACAAAGCAAAACAAGACAAAAAATTCAAATAAGCTCACATTTGTCTTGAAAATACTAAATAATTAGTATTAAGTGATGAACAGCCATGATCTGAACAGCACCCACAACATAATTAATGACACTACCTAAATGAGGATATTGACTTAATTGTTTACTCTCTTTTTTATTTTTACTCTTTTCTTTCTTCCCTTGTTTCTTCAAGCTCTATCAGTGAGATCCCTTGTCTTGTGAAAAGAAAAACTCAATCAAAGCATTGATTTTCTGTTTCAGCATGCTCCAAAGTAATTCAGGAGCAAAACTAAATATCTTAAGTGTGCACAGAATGGACTAGATTTTATATAGAAGATAAGAGCGGCCTGCTTTAATCTCTTATCTGCCTGATTCATTATTCCACCACAAGTGTATTCACACATTAAAATATACATCATGACCTTTTTTGACTAATGTGCATCAGGGCAAGCAATAAATAAACACTAACATCGGGTTAATGCTTCTTTTTGTTTCATTTAACACAAAAATGTTTGATTTTTGGTCAAAATAAATGCATAATGTTTCACTGAGAGAGTTCTAGAAAGGTGCAAGAATTTAACAGTGGACACTACTGCGTCATAAATGTGCTATGTATCTGCTAAATTGACTTTGTAAACATAACTCAATAGGACACTATTCACCAGACTTAAATTTCATGCATGTATGCCTTATGAATACATTTGTAGAGTTCAAAAAACATCCGAGGTTGAAACCAGATTACAATCTTATGCTACATCACAGCTGCCTTTTGTAGTTTGAATGTGACTGCCAGAACATGTCAGACGACTGCTATGATGTGCTTTTGACATGACTGTGATATGTAAATAGCTACAGTTACATAGTAGGAGTCATTGCAGTTTATCATATTAAAGTCTAGCATTTGTGATTTTAGCTGCAGATGGAGTAGCAAGCATCCCAGGAGTCATTTCTTTACAAAAAAAAAAAAAACTTGATTTGCAAATAATTCTCACAAGATTTCTGCATCAGTCATTTAGCAAACACTTTTGTCCAAAGAGACATACAATTGAGGAGGCATTTAGTGATTTAAAAAGAAAAGACAATGCACACAAGAAGTGCTAATTGTACAAAGGAACTGTTTGTGCTCAGAGAATTAAGTGCTATATAGCAAAGGTTTCCCGATGATGGGTTGCAGCTGGAAGGGCATCTGCTGCGTATAACACATGCTGGATAAGTTGGCGGTTCGTTCCGCTGTGGTGACCCCTGATTAATAATGTGAGAAGGCAGAAAATAAAATGAATGAATAAGTTAGCAGGGGTTGGGGTTTAAAAAGAGAAGGGTTTTGCTACAGGTGGTTTGTGAGGCCCACTCACCTGTGTAAAGCTCACATTAAATGGAATAAATTTGATCTAAACGGATAAAAGGGATATAATTTTATTTTTAAAAGCTATATATAAATAAATAAATAAATATATATATATATATATATATTTGTTTGTTTTTTGTAGCAGGTAGTGGAGTATTTTTCATAGTCACGTTTTGGTATTTATTTAGTTCAGCGAAGGAAAGCAGTGGGAAGTCCTTTCACGGGAGTTGTAGGTAAGGTCTATTCATTAAGGACAGTTATAGTCAGGGAACTGTTTTGTTTAGCTGCGCTACCTGTCTACATGTTTTTGTTAATATTTTAGTGTCTCTTTTGGAACATTTAATTCATGTAAATTAAAGATTTATTGATGAGATGTCAATTTGTTAATTCAAGCATCTGTGTTCATTCATATGTTCGTCTCAAACCTTGATGTTGTTATTCAAGCTAGTTTTGGGTTTTGGGGCGTAACTATATATATATATATATATATATATATATATATATATATATATATATATATATATATAGTGCTGTTGCACAACATAATGTACTTTTCAGGCTTTTGTATGTGAGAATGTAGTTTTTTAGATTGCAACTATGCAGTTTATTTATAAGGATATAGTGTCTATTTTTAAATATTTATAATTTTGGATTTTCAGCACGTTGTAGTTCCTCGTACAAAAGGATTTTCGAGACTCTCCCGTGTTTGATTTTTTTCTATATATATATATACACACAATTATGCCGTTGAACTGTTGTATTAACATAATATCACATGAGTAGCAGTGCGATATGGCTGTATATTGTCACCATTGAAAAACTAAGGCACTCTGCCTGCATCCTCGAACCAACGCACGCCACCCACCAGTGCTAATATACAGCCATATCGCATTGCTATTTGTGTGATATTGCACATAAATAGACAGACAGACAGATAGACAGACAGACAGACAGACAGACAGACAGACAGACAGACAGACAGACAGACAGACAGACAGACAGACAGACAGACAGACAGACAGACAGACAGACAGACAGACAGACAGACAGACAGACAGACAGACAGACAGACAGACAGACAGATAGATAGATAGATAGATAGATAGATAGATAGATAGATAGATAGATAGATAGATAGATAGATAGATAGATAGATAGATAGATAAACCTCTTTCTTCAAAAATATTATTATTATTACTATTATTATTATTATTAGTAGTGTTTGGATAATTATTATTATTGTTAGTAGTAGTAGTAGTAGTATTTAAAAGACAAATATTCTTTCTTACTTTACCAAGTCTTTCTCAAATAATCCACACAATGAGATTTGCTCCTCTCATGAATTATGCTTTGATATACAGTATCATCTATCACTGTGTCTCTAGCAGTGATAACAGTCACAGAAGCTGCCTACTGACTTTTAACTTTTGAGAATAAGACCAATGACGGCATTAGGCAGCTCAATACCAAGCGCTAACCTTTGACTTCATGTTCCTCTCTGAGTATTTACTTTTGGTCGCAGCCTTTCAGATTGATGAATGACACTGCACCATGGGTAGATGAACATCAGCCAAAGCCAAAGAGGAGAACAGCCTCGCATTTGACATTTTCAAGCCTCCCTGAGTTTTAAAGTTTCTCTCTGTGAGCTTCTCGGTTACTGGGCTCCATGATGCTATGGGATACAACTAACAGGACTTTTGGAAACTCGTTTAAAAAAGTTGGAACAAATTGGTTTTGTTGGTGGTAAAGTAAAGCATATAGAGATGCCGCTGCTTTCCACAACAACCGTTTCATCAGAGAATCTTCCAATGTTTAAATCTGAATCTCAACACTGCAGAAAATGGCGCCAAAAATAGGGCTTTCAAGACACTATTGACCCTCTGAGTGGGTTTCTTTTATAGCTCGCTGAGCTCTTGGCCCAATGGCCCATTTCTTGTCTTCAACATTCCCTGACAAATC